CAGTCCACCTGACAGATGGTTAACGGTTTGGATATTTGCACTCTTTTTGAATGTATTACTCCATTTCCATGTCTGTTAACCTTTACTGGAGCTAGAAGCTAAATCACGAGGAGTGTTGTAACCACCAGAAGGCTGTTTTCTGTAAATGAATACCTTGAAAACTGGAAGGCTTTTGGCAGAGCGCAGAGAGCTCCTGGCTCTGTCCCCTACCAGTATTCTGAAGTGAATTTCTAATAAATCCTCCTTCTGGCTGTTTCTCAGGAGTGGAACAAGGTTAAAAGTAGATTCTTCCCAGAATCCCTCGTCGCCCGCCTGCTGTGTGCTCTCTGCAGCGGGACAATTGTCTGTGGACAGAAACCAGAACTGGATTAGCTACCCGTGCATCGAGGGCTTGCCTCATCTCCAGGCTACTGAACAGAAAGAGAACCACTGTTAATTTGCCAAGTCTAGTGATTTGATTGTCTTACAAAGCCATGTTTTTTCTATACTGAATGACGTAGTTTGTGTACTATAGAAATAGTTTTTGCTCAGCAAAACTTAGTGAATCACTTTGATTCTTTCTCCATTTGAGGGCAGGAGAAGGCAAGCAGGCAAACTTGTAGTAAGAATGTATATACCTATTCCTGTTCTGGGGGTTGCAGGATAAACTAGATGACTTCTGAGGGTATCTTCTAAATCTGTTTTCTATGGTTCTTAGGCTATCTACTGAACTTCAACTTACATTTGAAGCAAATAACTTCTATGGCTTAGGAATGATCAAAGAATTGATTGTTTCTAACAATCTCCCATCACTGTAGGTTTTTGGTCTCCCAGACTATGTCTACTACCACTTAATTATCCTTAGTGTTAGAAGCTTCTGTCTACTATCTTTGGAAATCCCTTGTTGCAATTTAAATTAATTTCTTCTAATCATGTTCACAGTGGGCATGGAAAACAAGCTTTTCTCCCCTTCTATTATTGCAATCTCCCATCAGTCTGTCCTAGACTGAAGAAGCCCCGGACCAAGATTTTTCTTATAGACTGTATTTTCTAGACTTTGGATCATTTCTGTTGGTTCAACATGTTTGGCACAGGCCTTTATTTTCCAAACACTGCTTCCTCCCCACAGCCAACAGGACAAATAGATCTACAGTGACACGGTGGGAAGCTCAAATGTACAAATGTCAATAACTAAAGGTGTGTATTAAGATGAATTTGAAATGTGGGGATGTTTGATGCTCTGAATCTTCTTCTAGCTTTTCAGTTGTGAGCACAGTCAGGTTTGTACACAGGGCAGCTGAATTTGGGGGTGGTGGAGAGGAGATCAGTAACAAAAGGCAGTTTCACTATGATAGAAGCAGGAAGACAAGAATCTCTTCTTCTCTTGTCTTCTCCAGTTTCTGGCAGTTACAGAAAGCTAATGATAGGGCCTCAAAGGTGAGAACCCTTTTCCACTAATCCTACAGACTCCTGGGAGTGTCTCTTTGATGGTGTCTCCATCAGCATTGAAATTTAGCAGCTCACTATCAGATTTAAGAAAAGTAGTTGCCAGCTGCCTGTTTGTACACAAATCACCCTGTCTGTTCAAGAGCTTAAAAATCCAAAGGAACAATGAAGCATTTTGCAGGTGAAAGCAGCCACATTCCTTAGGGAAATGTATCAGCTACAGGACACCAAGGAGGAGCCTTTATTTAAGGAGGGGTTGAACATTCCAGTCTGGACTTTTTTTAGTTGGCTTGTGCAGCTTGTCCTTTAGGGCATTGTTATAGAAGCATTATTATATCAAAGTAATTTGAATTACTCACACAGCCCAATATGTGGTAGGCTTTCCACGTGAGCAAGACAGGATCCTTCCCCGAGGAGTTTAGCGGTCTGCACGGACAAAAGTAGCAGTGCATTACCAGATACGAAGTCACTGATTCCAAAACCATATATAATCTATGAAGGTTGAATTTCTTTGGTTTGCTTCTCAGCCTACACGCATTCAGGAGGTCTGATTAGGCAAGTATGATGGAGATTAAAGTTCTGTCTCCATCCTAACGTTGTGCTTGGTGATGTTGAGTGCCCAGAAGTTGTTACTGTATTGTTATGAAATTCTGCTGCTGCTTATAAGCAAGATGCAGTGATGGAAATGAGCTTCACTTCACTGTTTATTTTAGTTTACTCAAGAGCTGTGTGCAAGAGCTTTCACTCGGAGCTAAGTGCATATCAAACAGTATTAGTTTCAAAGCTCCAAGTCAGGAGCTGACTTTAAACAGCAGCAAAGCACGTGTTATGTGTAAGTGCCTTGGAAGTACAACGAGGTGCTGGGATTGTACTAAAGTATCTGGAATGCCTCCAGACTGCGCCCATGCTGAAACAAAGACTTGCTGCAGACTTCAGGCATCAAGCAGATGCCTCTTCCCTAGCTTATACCAGTCCCACACATACCGAAGTACCTGTCTGTGCCAGGATAAATTTGTCTATCTTAGGGCTGGTAGATATTCTGAGCAATACATCTGTCTGTAAATGTGCATGAACCTTGTGGTAAAGGGGGTGTCTGGATGTGCAGCCTAACTCCAGCTGGTTTAAGAGATTAATCACTGGAATATCACAATAGCTGTGGTGCATTTCTGTGGGGATAAAACTGTAACGGCTGCAACTCAGTTTGCAATAAATTTCACATTAAGTCATTGTCGAGGGTTTTCATTTGCTGGTTTTTATTTGCTAGTTACATTTTTCAGGGTTCTTACTGGCAAAAAACCCAAAAAAACCCTGTCCAATTCTGAACCATAGCAAGGAAACGTCACAACTCCCCTGTGATGGCTACATGTTTGTAATGGAAATGCTGTCAGCATTTGCAAGAGAGAAGATGCTGATATCTTGACTTCAGATGGTGTTAAATTTGCTTCAGTGCATTTTGGCCCCCAGAGATCGTATCAGTAAAATTATATAGAAAAGGTCCCCCCACACACACCTGTTTATCAGCATTTTTGAAGTACAGTCATCCTGGCAGGAATTCAGATCTAGAATGTATGAACACATTAACAGCTTTTCCAGAGCACTATTATCAGAGCTATTGTTGTTCTCACAGAATAAAAAGACAGAAAAAAAGGCAAGAAGTAACAAGAGAATTCAGTATAGGAAAAAGTAACTTACTGGCTGCTGCTGGGACTTGCTGCAAAAGTAAAATCTTTTTGATAAGATGTTTCCTGTTTAAATAGACATTTGACTGTGTATCCTTTGGCTTTAAGGAAGTCTCAAGCAAAATCCCTTCCCAGTTGCTTAGCTGTCTGGGTGGTTTTTATTACTTTGAAGTTAGGCTTTATCTGCTGGCTTCATTCACAGACTAGCTGGCTGCTTATCACATCTGTGGATCAAATCTTCAAAGGTTTTGTCTGAAGAGCTGGGATTTATGAGGTCACGTGGAATCCCCCTTGGAGGGAGTTCAGCCCATGGCAGCAGAATTGTGGGGAAGAGCCTTTGTCTGTAGGTGACAGTGGGCAGGGGAGGGGCTCTGCGATGCATGGGAGGTATGTGTGTGCTGTGGGGTGGTGCTGATAGCCAGGGGAGTGCTGGATTGTGAGCGCTGGCGCGTTTTCAGCACGCAACATATAGAGAATGTGGGAGAGCAGAGCACATTCCTAGACACAGACTCACCGTGTTGCTGCTTCCAGTAGAGCTGTGTGAAATGTCAGAAGGAATTAGACCCGTGCTGGAACTGACAACCACATCGGGCTCTGTAGCGCTAGGCTTCACTGCACATCTACAGCCAGGCTTAGAAACTGCACCGAATGGGTGGAAATGATGGGGGTTTGTTTGCGGTTTTTTGTTTTGTTGTGGTGTGGGGGTCTTGTTTCGTTTTCCAGAAAGGTGACTGCCGGTTAAAAGTCAAAAACCAAGGAGAACCAACCCGAAAGGCTGCCTGGCTTTCTGCTTACTTCACCAGAGAGCAGCAGCTGTCAAATCTGCAGCCAAGACTGCCTCGTCCCAGCCCCAAGCGTCCCTTGGACAATATGCCAGCTGAACGAGCATCTCCAGTAAAAGCACATCGGAGTATTCTTGCCTCTGGAACACAGCATTACTTTCAGGCTGTGTTCAGGCATGCCAGGCTTTGCTGACTGTACAGAAAGGGAAGGCTCGGTGTAGCAGCATGTGTTTGTTGTGTTTCTGAGTGTCTTGCAAACAGCTTTAGCTGTTTAGAGATCGTGCTCGGCTTCGGAGCAAGCAAAATGGTGTAACTACATGTGCTGCAAGCAGGAGAGAGGTCTCATCTGTGCTGATTTATATGTCTCAGCTTCCATTCAGGAGATTAGGTTAAATGACTGCAAGGATCTCTGTTAAAAGCGTACTGGAAAGAAAGTGATTTTTCTTTGGATGAAGCACACTGAGAGTGTGCTGCAAGGGGATGAACATACTGTAGGTTCTGTGAAGGTAGTCTAAGCCCGCTCACTGTGAGGGATTTAGGAAGGTATGTAGTAAATATTAATGTGGTGTGCTTGGAGACGTGGCTAGTTGTCTTCGTCAGACTCTGCCTTTCTCCATCAGAACGTGCCCCTGCTGCAAAGAGCAGTTACCCGTTTATGCACTTACAGCTCTTCCCTTGGCAAAAGCTGCTATCTTTCAGCACTTACTAACAGCCCCTGTTTCGATCAAAGCTCCACCCCTGGTGAAGAAGTGGAGCTTATTCGGCCTCTGTAGCCACGGGCTGTCCTGCCATGGCTCCTCCTCCCCTCCCACCCTTGGGTGGAACTACAGAAGGGAAAACTTGACAATAGTTAGCAGGCAGCTTCTGCAAGAACTATTGCAGAAGCATGTCCAACTAGCCCGGTTAGCAGCTAGTGTATCCTTCCCAAGGGTGCTGCTGCCGCTGAGTGCAGAAGATGGTTATAGGCATGGGAGCCAGGAAAAGTCTGAAAAGGAATGAGCAGCCGAGAGACCTGGCATTCCTTAGGCAGCTTCAAAGAGAGGTGAAGTATCTGAATCAGCGCAAGATTAAATGAGCACGGGCTGCTGCCATGTTGGCAGAACAGAGCTGTTCAGAGGCAGTTGGACAAGTTTGTGGCTGAGCCGGTTTATCCAGTGTTGAAGATGGGAAGTTACTTGTCTGCCCCAGCTTACTTCGCTCCCAAGGATCCCTTTCGGTAAGTCTTGTGCAGGATTAGCAGTCGACCTTCCAAGTGTCGTTTTCCCCCCTGTAATGCTATGCTACCCTATCCTATCCTAAGCAGTTGGCATGCGAGGTGTGAAGAACACGGGACAGTGCTTGTGTGCAGGGAACAGCCAGCCTCAAACTGGGATCCTGTCTTGCTTGGAGGAGGTGATGGGAAAGATCCTTATTACCAGCCTCTTTGCAGCTCTCTGGTACAGGGGTATGGCACCTGTTTTGTGAGATAGTCTGTGCAGCCCAGCAAGCAGGCTCCTTGGCAGAGCAACACTGTATATGCCACTTTACCCCGTGCCCCTGTGCTTTGCGCTGCCCCCAGAGGAATGAGATTACTATGGCTGCTGCTGCGTATGTCTCTTCCAAAGCTACTTGTGCTTGGGCATAGCACAGGGTGAGGTGAGGTGCTGCTGTTGGCAGTTCAAGGAGGTGATGTAATCTGCTGTGAGGCAGTGCATAATCTTGTCGAGAAAAGAAATAAGTACTTTGCAGATAACTAGGGATAAGGAGCACACTTATGTGGAAAAGATTCTTCTCCTGTGATACTCTGGTTTATATTAACAACCATGCTTGGTCCAGTTGAACAAATGAGGCTTGAGAAAGGTGACAGCTACAGAATGAGGCTTTGATTGCATTACATAGTGAAAACTGTTAGTGGGGCTGAACACAGTCAGGATGGTGACTGACCCTGATGTGCTGATAAGGTGAATGGTTGGGGAAAGGCACAGCTTGCAGTTTCATTGTCTCCCTGCTATCCCCTCCACTCGGATTTGCTCATTATTGATCCTGTTCCTGCAAACACTTTTGTACTGCTTTGGGAGTAAGGAGCCTTTTGTTAAAACAGTCTAGGATAGGAGTAAATACTGCTGTGCAATTGCTAAGCTGCTTTAGGCAACTTTCTGAAACAGCATCAGCTTTCAGAAGAAGGAAAGTGAGAAGACATATTATTTGTAATATGTGTAGGGCATCACGCTAGGCCATGGATACACCTTCTCGTGTCTCAAAAGGGTTTTGCATAGCCAGAGCTTAAACACTCTGTCTTCTAGTACTGAATCTGTTTTCTAGCATCCATTCTTCCTTGCTAGTGTCTCTTATGTAGCCAGTGCACATACTTCTACTAAACCTTTGGGTTAGCTGCAGGCTGGGGTTACATGTTACTCTGCAGCTTTCTGTCTGCGTGACTGTCCTCTCCCCTGCTCTGCTGCAGAATTGGCACCACAGCTCTTCTGAGCCTGTCTAGCGTTAACTGATCCAGCCTGACAGTATGTGTGAGGGGTGCATTTTGTTAATGAGCCCTTCTCAAAGGGATCTGTCTCTTCAGTGCCAGGGATGTTTTTGCTTCCATGAGGGTATTAGCTTTCATTTTAGATGTAAAAGAGATGCCACTTCAATTGAATCTCCCATCTCACTGAAAACCAGGCTGGATACCTGTTGTGACCTGATCCTCCCACCAACCCCCACAAAAACAAGGAGCCATCAAGGAGCTATTTGTGAACTCTTTCTGCACCTGCTGTGCTACAGAGCATCAGGGCTGAACACTGCACTTTTGGATGCTGTCTGGGGTTCCTGGAGGATGGCTATGGGATGCAGATTAAATTAATCTGGGAAGTGAAGAATCATAATGTATGGGACTGTATAATCAGAGCAGGGCTCTGCAGCTCTGAAAATGGTGGCTGGGCAGCAAGAGGAAGGTATGGCTGTTACCAGTCCTCCAAGAAACTTGATTACCATGCTTTGTTAACTCTGTAATAAGAATACCAAACTATGTAGGAGAAGATAGTGGTTTCTAATAAAAGACAGAGGAGCAAGAAATCTTCCTCTTCCTTTCTTTTGGTTGTGGTGACTGGCAAAGATTTGCTGCTTAATACCTGTGGAAGTAATTGTATTTCTGTCTCAGCTGATGCGAGCCCTGGCAATGGCAGTGCTGCAGTGGCACGCACACTAAGTGAGGAGGGAAAGGAAGCAGTGATAACTCTTGTATCTTCTGTGATAAAATTCTGACATATCTCTTCATGAGAATCATGTGGAACAGTCATGTGATGCCTTTATCATTTGGGTGAAGGCACTGAAATAGTTGAAAGGTCTTGAAGCTGTACCTGTGTGCTGACAGCCAGTTCTCCACAGCCAGCAAATCTAAAGCCTCTGCTCCATTGCAGAATGCATGGCAAGCAGCAACAGAAGGTGCTGCTTGGCAATATGGGCCATAGCCATGTCCTTTTGCTGCAGTCATTAACGAAGCAGCCACTTAGCCCCATTACCAGCGTCTACCCTCTATGGGGCTGGTTGCTTTGTTCCTATTGCCTCACTGCCCTGGGTGGGGTTCTGAGCCTTAAGCTGCAAACTTGTCCTGCCTAGATTTGTTTAATTGCATAGCAAAGAACTGACTGCTTGCTCCACCTCTTTACCTTCATTTTGCTATGGGTGTGTTCCAAATTAGATACCAGTGCTTATTTCTGGATGGAAGCTAACTAATCAAAGTGCTGTAAGGTTGGAGTCAAACCATGAAGAAGTAGGGGAAAGGTAAAGGGAAGATGAGTGTATGTGATCCTCTGGAACCCATCTAAACAGAACTGCCGGTGTGTTGCTTTTGCAGCAGTTTTAGATTTTCTTAGGGAGAAAAAGGTTGAAGGTGAAATTGAAAAGGGGTGAGGAAGGGAAGGTGTTGTGCTTAAAACCAACTAACTAACTAACTCACCTGCTTGGAGAGAACTTGGACAGAGAGTGAAGTCTTCTCCAGTGTTGCTGTCTGCATCCCAAGTGCAGGTCTGGTCACAGCTCTGTTTGAAGATGTAATCACCGTGGAAGCACGTACTGGTACAGGCATGCACGCAGGAGTTGGATAAGTCTGAGGGATCTGATTTGCCCGTGCTGAGCCAGATGTTCCTGCCACAAGGCGATAGAAATCTTTGCTGTTAGTCTCCACTTGCTCTTTTCTCCCTCCCACTCACCCACTTGATCACTCAGCGTGGGGTATTTACTGCAAATGAAAGCCAAAGGCTAGTGGGTGAAGGCAAAATGCATTGCAATGCCTTCTAGGTCTCTTGCATACCATGAGCAGAGTGTAACCATGACAGTGCCTCGAGGCTGAGGCTGTAATGATGCTTGTACCATGTATAGTATAGCAGCGTTAAGTTACTGCTCCCCCTGCCTCAGACAAAATTGGCAGGGCCTGTTGCACATGCTGGAGTTCCTTCCCATCACTGAGGAAGGGGGGGCTGAGGGGGAACAGGATTTGGAGCTCCTCAGCTGGGAGAATAAACACTATAAGAGCCAAATACATTAGAGGGAGCAACTTTCCTGAGGGTAGGGTACGGCACTGAATACCTCATGAGGTGTGTTTTCCCCTAAAACCATAGGCTGATTACAAGCAGCTTCACCTTGTTGCTTTACAGTCTCTTGAGATGAAGCAAATAATTCTTTCCATGTTGGAGCATGACCACTTCGCGTATCATCACGCTCATTACAAGCTGGTGGAGTTTACAAGGACTGACTCTGGCACAAATAAGCTTTCAGGAAGCTTGTGAAAGGTGAAGTCTACAACATAGTAGACCTGACAGCATGTAGAATGTGCACCTCCACTGCCACTAGCTGACCTCAGTGCTGTCCAGGGGGCATACACCCAACAACACCCACACCCTGGTGCCAGGGATTCCCCTCCAACATAGTCCCTGAGACAGTTGTTGGGGTAAGGGGCTGAAGCAGCTCTTCCTTCCACCTTTGGGAAAGCATCCTGCTGACAACAGCGTTGGTCCTTGAGGTGTTTCTTTGAACCAGTTACTGGTGACTCACCCACCTTGGATTCTGCGCTCAGAAATTGAGATACCAGACTCGTAATACCAAATACCAATACTGGATTAATTTCCCTTTTAAAGTCTGAGAACATGTTGCCCAGGGCTAATGGAATAATCTTTAGTGATGCAACTGCTGTCTGTGCCTTATCTCTCCATTAGTCACACCTCCATGCTGCAGATGTTAAACTCCCTTGCCTGGCGCATCCTGCTGAGGCAGGATTATTTTGTGTTCAGGAACCCTGAAGATCTGGATTCTGCTTGTGATTTGCTAAAATGACATCTGTAGTAGAATTGCTGCATCTTTTTCCTTGTTTTTTTTGGGTGGGAGGGAGGGTAGATCGAGGATTAATAATGGCTGCTTGTTGCTCTGTGTGCTGGGCAGCCCTGCAGCTGGAAGCTTGCTTCCAGGAAGAGGGAGAAAGCACAGGAGCAGAATCTATAATGCAGAATTTATAAACCTACTGATGTGCTTTAATAAATGGATGGGATTTGCTTTAAACTTTGGAAGCTTGTCTTTTCCTTTATATTGGGTGATACCACCTCTCCTTACAAACCTTGTGTCTAGTCCAGTTGAAAAAGCATTGGGAAATGGAGGGGTTTAGTACATCCATAACTGGAAGAGCTGATGGTGACCTGCTGATGAACTTTCTCTCCATGCAGAAGAGGCCCTTTTTCATTGGTTTGTGACTTGTTGCCAACTGGAACTTTGTTCCTTTGTTTCCTTCAAGGTGCTCTGAATGTCAGGATCCCCTCACTAACTGGTACCATGAGAAAGATGGGAAGCTGTACTGTCACAAAGACTACTGGGGGAAGTTTGGGGAATTTTGCCATGGCTGCTCTCTGCTGATGACTGGACCTGTAATGGTAAGGCCTCTGAGGGACTCTTGCCTGGAGGCAGAACATGCCTGCCTCCAACTCCTCCAACTTGGCTGGGAGTTGCCCTAGCTGTTCAGATAACCAAATAAACTGAAGGTAATAGCCTCTTACTGTGCTAATCTCTAATCAGAGATTAGAAATGAGGCTTATGTGTGCATCTTCTACATAAAGATTACTTTTGAACAGGGGTAGCTCTTAAAGGAGGGGGTTATGAGGATCTGAAGCATCAAAGACAGTAAGGTGCTGAAATGCACAAGCATGAGAAGTAGAAAGGTGATTAAGGGGACATCTGTTCAGTTTCTTTAGCACAAGTGCTTCAGTGTCTCCATGGGGTGATTTTCCACTGCACTGCAGTCAAACCTCTCAGCCTCAGGATAAGCAGCAGGTTCTGGCTTTGGGAAAGGTTGCCATCCACATCCCACCTATACTGTGGCCAGAGTGGGTTTCTTGAAGTGTCTTGAAATAGTGCTAACCTCAATTGCTTTGAAGCATTGAACTCTGCCTGCACAATATGGGGCTCACCTAAATGTTCCCATCCTTGCCACAACCTTGCAAATAATTAAACTTTAAAGCTGTCAAGAATGAAATATAGCCAGCATTTTTCTGAGGCCTAAATAAAAGCAGCATGGCACTCAGTAATGATTGCTACCTCAAAGGGAAGTACTTAGAAAAGCACAGATGATTTCTCATTGCCTGCAGAAGTCTTTGCAAAATACTGTCAATAAGAGAAGTTCTTATAAGGAAAAGAGAGAAACAGATCAATGAATAAAAATATTCTTTAAAGGTGTTTTGTTGTCTCAGTCTCAACTCACCTTTTTTTTCCTGTCAGCTGGCTGGTAAACTATCTGAATTTGTGCGTTGCAGGTCTGCCAAGAAAAAACCAGCCCTTTCAGCCTTATGAATTCAGGCATAACATTAGTTATCTTGCCAAGAGCAACTGAACAGGAAGGTTTAATAGGTTTAATAGCTTGTTTACTAGTCTGCAGCAGACTATCAACTGTTTTTGATAGTTGAGAAGCTGCCAAATATAGCAGAGGTTCCTGACACAAGGTTTACTTTGCATGTTGACATGTTTGTTTCAGAGAAGATTAGCAAACAGGGTGCCAAGGATGGTGTTCAGGAAAGGTAGAGTGGGCTAATAAAACTCTCCAGTGAAAAGCTGCCACTTGATTTGAGATCTGAATGAACATATTAAGGAGAGGAAAGCCATAGCTGCATCTGCTGATGGGTTTTGGCCCTGCTAAGCTACTCCCTTTTCTGTCTGTAGGTGGCTGGCGAATACAAGTATCACCCTGAGTGCTTTGCTTGTATGAGCTGCAAAGTGATCATTGAAGATGGGGACACTTACGCACTCGTGCAACATTCCACTCTCTACTGGTAAGATGGGCTGCAAGCTTTGCCACAGAGCTGCTCCCTGCTGGATGTGTAAGCCACGTTTAGCTGGCTCAGTGTGGGACAGCTCAATGCTACACTAAGGAATGCCAGGAAGCTGCCTTTTGGGGGAGGGAGGAATGGTATAAGCACTAAACACTGTAAGTTACGGTCAATGAGAGAACTTAGAAGTGCAAGTTTGGCAGGGGGGATAGGACACTGCTATAATGACTTTCTTCACTTCTTTTAGTGGAAAATGCCATAACCAGATTGTGCTGACACCAATGATAGAAAAACACTCTACTGAGTCTCTGCGTGAGCAGCTGCCTTATACGCTGACCCTCATCTCCATGCCAGCAGCTACTGACGGCAAGAGGGGGTTCTCTGTGTCTGTCGAAGGTGGCTGCTCCAGTTATGCCACTGCTGTCCAGGTGAAAGAGTGAGTATGACCAGGTCGTGTGTAATGTACATGTCTGTGCTGAGGGAGCTGGTAAAAATTCCGTAGCACTACTGTCCTGCCAGCTGCTTTAACTGATGAGGGGACTTGTCTCAGCACAACAGGGACAGCTAACAGCTGTTTGTGTTTGGTCTCCATTTCACTCATGTACTTAAGTGATAACTTTATTTCTCAGAGCTATTCTTCATCAAAAACTTTTGGAGAATGTTATTCTTCATACAAAACATTTGCAGAATTGTGATGGACTAACAATTTTTGCCATTGGTCAAAGGAAGAGCTCTCCCCAGACCAGCTCCGACCTAAGCACTTGGTCTAACAGTAGCTCCCTGTGTTGGTAGATTAGCGTTGTTTTATTTCAGAATACCAATATGAAGGGAAGCATCAGACATCAAATGTTTTCTATAATTTGGGCTAAACTGACTTCACACACACGCGGTAATTCCCATGTTTAGAGTGAACAGGATGCACATCAGCCCAGATGTCCGGAACGCCATCCACCCTGCAGATCGTATCCTGGAGATTAATGGAGCTCCTATTCGTACATTACAAGTGGAGGAGGTGGGTAGAGTTCTGTTCTGAAGCCTCCTTCTCTTCTGCCTTCCTACAGCTTTTCTGTTTCTTGGCACTGTTCTCCCACCCTATACACAGTGTGTGTACACCCATAGTACCCATGCTGGAAGTAGGAATAAGCATGAAGACATGCTTTGCTACCCCTTGCAGCTGAAGAGGAAAATGTAACAGATGGAGATGCGATTAGGATGCAGGTCTGATTTTGTGGCATTCAGACATGAAGGGACGTAATAAAAGTGTAGGGCTGTGACATCTCAAAGGACAGAGAGACTGTGAAGAGTCTTCATGCTAGTGAAGTCAACTGTTCTGATCATTTTAGAGGCAACTGCTAAGAGACAAAGCCGCAGCTGATCCTAGGGATGAGTTTTCCATTGCAGTAAAAAAAGTCTTTGATGTCTATATTTACAAGTAAAAAGTATTTGATGCCTGCATTTCTGTCAGGTGATGCTGAAAGAGTAGTGAGAATACCATTGCCTTCACTATGCAAGAGTTTTATTTACTGTCAGTGCTGAAGAGGAGCACAGTAGACATCTCTCAGACAAACCTCCATGTAGCTTTTGCAAAGCAGGTTTTTGCAGCACTGTTCAGGATAGAAGCTTGTGTTGTTTATCAACACTTCTGAGTTGATAGTTGATATTCTGAGAAGTGTTAAAAAGCATTTCGTAGAACCATAGAATACCAGGTTGGAAGGGACCTGCAGGATCAACTGCTTCAACCTTTCTTGGCAAAAGTGTGGTCTAGACAAGACAGCCCAGCACCCTGGCCAGCCAAATCTGGAAAGTGTCCAACGCTGGGGAATCCATTTCCCTGGGGAGAGTATCTTAATGGCTGATTGTTCTTAATTGTCCTCTTGAGTCCCGTCTGAATCTCCCCAGGAGTAACTTGTGCCCATTACCCCTCATCTTTTCCTTGTGACTCCCTGTAAAAAGGGAGTCTCTGTCTTGTAGCCACCCTTTAAATACTGGAACATGGTCATAAGGTCTCCCCTAAATCTTCTTTTCTCCAGGCTGAACAAACCCCCCTTTCTCAGCCTTTCCTCATATAACAGGATGCCCAGTCCTTGGATCATCTTTGTGACCCTTTTCTGGACTTTCTCTACCCTGTCCATACCATTTTTGTATAGGTCATTTGTAGGTGACCAGAAAGGAGAAGGTTTGAATAGCATAACAACCTCTGTATTACTACCTTGATCTGCCTGCATGCAACTAAACCACAGCTGTGGAGTGCTCTCACTGGACTCTCTATTCTGATTGCTGAGGGGCATTCTGCTGCGTCTCCTCTGTCTCCTGTCATTATGTTCCTCCTTTGTGCTATCATCCTGTGCTTTGGTTTGACTTCAGGTGGAGGAGCTGATCCGCAAGACAAGCCAGACACTTCAGCTGCTGATAGAGCATGACCCTGTCTCGCAGCGCTTGGACAGGCTTCGTCTGGACTCCCATCTTCCCACCCACATAAAGCCACCCATTTCCCCGCGCTCCCTCTCACCACTGGACATCAAGGAGAATCTGGAAGGAACGCTCCGACGGCGCTCCCTCAGGTAAAGACCTGGAAGTGCTGCCTCTGACCTTGCTTGCCTTTGCCCTGTGCTACTTGGCTGGGCTGCTCTGTGCCTGCAGAGACATGACCCATCTCTGATAATGAGCCTTGGTATAAACCATTGGCGAAGCAATGGAGAGCTTTAGATTGAGCTATTGACATGTGTTCTCTCCATTCCCTTTCAGATGGCAAACTTTCCTTAATAAAAAATAATGGAGCTCTACTTTTAACATAGAAAAGCTACTAAGTTTTGCAGTTAGCAAATGGAAAGGTCTGATTTTTACCAGCCTTAAATGGCTGAGGAAGAATGTGTCCTTAAAGGGAAATATAGCTCAGACATGGGACTTGGGGAAAATCTTGTCTTCCTAGTATTGGCAACTCAGTTGCTCATTTAGTCATTTACCAGTATTTTAATCTTTGTTTAGAGATAGCAAGTGCTGTGTCTTCACAGCTTCCTCCTCCTCCTGTTCACAGAGCTCCCCCTCCAACAGTCCAGGAGATGTGTTGCTGTTAGGCAGCCCTGACCTGGAAGCTGCTCTAGGTTTGTAAAGAGCTTCCACAGTGCTGAGAGAGCGTCTGGCTTTTGCGGTACAAAGAGCACTGAAACGCAACTAGAAGCTGGACCTTTAGGAGCTAATGATGGGATATGTTGGACAAAAGGTTTCCTAGCAGCTTCCCTCATCTTTCTGTCTCCTTTGTTTTCTAGGCGAAGTAACAGCATTTCTAAGTCTCCTGGTCCCAGTTCTCCAAAGGAACCACTTCTCCTGAGCCGTGACATCAGTCGTTCAGAATCCCTACGATCCTCTTCTAGCTGCTCCCAGCAAATCTTCCGGCCCTGTGACCTGATTCATGGAGAAGTGCTAGGAAAAGGATTTTTTGGACAAGTAATCAAGGTGAGGGAGGTCCCCAAGCATTCATCATTTACTTTGATTACAGCAGTATCTGCCTATCTCAGAATCCTTCGCCACTGTCTCAGTGGCCTTTGCCTTGCTGATAGTGATTGGTGATGGAACTTGCCTGGTTTGCTCCATGAGATCCATTTCTCTTTCATTCCTTGACCATGAGTGTCTCTGGCTGCAGGCAGTTTTGACTTTGTCCCCTTTGAATGCCAACCTTGGGCTTACATACTCATCTCTTGAGTTAGATTTAGAGCTCCAGAGTGCCTGTGTCACAGCAACCACCTGCGTGAGTTGGGAGAATGGGGAACAAACTACACTTTCTCTTATGAACATCTTTCCTATGAAGAGGTGCATTCAACTTCCCAGTACAGCATTTCTCACTCTCCCTTGGTGTGCCATGCTGGGAGATTTGCCAGGCTGATGTAGTGACCACCTCTGAACCCCCAGCAGAGCCTAAATGGCTTGTCAGTGGTCAGTTCTTGCATGATTCTCACAGTTAAAATCTCCATTAATAGCAGTTCTCTAGTATTTAAGCCCCAGTCTTGACTGAGGGTGCTTCAGCAGCTATTCACCATGTTATGGGACTTCTCTCCTTACACCTGTATAAACTTCAGGTGTCCAGCCACCATATTCACTTCATGCTTCCATGGGAGGTGGTGAGCCAGTACTACAGACCCAATGCTTTTGATCCATACTAATGAGCATTTCTCTTCTCCTCTGCTCATAGAGAAATAACAGGTCCAGGTAAGCAGAACCTTTCCTGTCTCGCATGCTTTTGTCATCTGTGTCCCCACAGTTAATGGCACAAAGACTTTTTTTCTTTCTGCTCAAGTTACCCAATAGCCATCCTGTTCTGGTGCATGCTCTGGGAGTTGAAATTGCCCTCTTAGAGGTTCATGATGTCACTTGTTTCAGTTTTGCTGGTATGTCAGCTTAAGAATGCCACCTAGCCTTGTCTTGTCTTTGTCTCTTCACTTATCTTTATCTTTGGGTATTAGATGTCCCTGGCTTTCATATCCCTGGCTGAAATGTGTAGTGTTCCCTGGCTCACTACTTGTTTATGGATGCTTGATTTCAGATGGGAGCAGAGGAATACTGTACTCTTGCTTTTGTTGTGTTATTCCATGCATTTGTATTCCACGTGTATCAGCCGTGTTATGTCCCACGGTTCTAAACAGAACTAGTGTGCCACAGTGTTTGAAAAAGCTTATAAACTTCCTAAATACTATAACTGGGTCTTGTGTTCTGGATTGCAGGTCTAGAGGTTTTCCAAAAGGCTTTTTGTTTTAAAGGGTATGAGGCCTTTCTTGAGCTTCAGATTGACTGCTTCTGGTGCAGCAAGTACTGGATCTGATCACAACAGTTCCCTTCTGTTCCTAGAGAGAAGGTGGTAGTTTAGTTAGGTGGAGATCTTAGGAAGACTAAGCTGTCCAAATTAAGCAACTGAAGGGGAGAGGATTTCCAGGAAAACCTGTTTATCAGAATTTGGACCCTTTCTGCTCACTCATGCACCTGGTGCCAGCAAGGCAGAGGTAGTTAAAAGAAACCTCTAGAATACAGCAAAATGACAGGAACTAGTTGGATACAGGCAAACAGCTCTTGAGGAACTGGAAAGGCTTTCCATGTCCAGAGACAGAAAATGTATTACCTGGTGTTTACAGTGGATTTCTGTGTCTTTGCCACCGTTCTGGGACATTCCTTGCAAGTAGCAATACACCGCTCCCAAGGAGCATGGTAAAATAACTGCTTTCTGCCTTAACTGAACAGCCTGTACATTCCAGTTCTGCTTGCGCATGAGTAACTTCGATAAGCTCATCAGAAACCACCAGGCTTCAGAGTCTTCACAAAACCAAAGCATGTAGTAATGTAGATGTGGGTTGTTTGGTTTGGTTTCTGATGCAAGTGAACATGGGTTCCTTTGCCGATTCAGAATGTAGTTGTTAGGGTCTGTGTACAAAATGTGGGCAAATACTTTCTGGAACGGAACTTAAGGCATGCACAAGTACAGAGCTGATGCCTTCAGAGGCTTCGACAGCCTGTATGCGTGCTCAGCCCTATGCTACCTAACGTGGAGACTTCAGCTCTGGTTCTTGGGATGCTGTTGGTCTCCTGGTATGATCCTCTGTGAGTGTTAGGTAGTTTCTGGTTTACATACAGGATCTCTGCTGAATTTTGCAGGAAGAAATGTTATGCTGTTTTTTGCAGATCCCCAGGCTCTGAATCTCCTCCCATCTGTTTCCCACTCTGTACGGAAGGGAATGTTACCCTCTCTTTCAGAAGAGTTGCAAGAGCTTTGGAGCTATGTATTCTTGAACCTTGCCTGTAGTTGTGGTTTCTGTTTCCACCAGGTGACTCACAAAGCAACAGGAAAGGTGATGGTGATGAAGGAGCTGATTCGCTGTGATGAGGAAACACAGAAGACTTTTTTGACAGAGGTAGGAGCAGGATTGCAAAAAGCTTTTGAGCCAGCAGCGTGTGGCACTCTCTTCCGTCTTATCCATGGAGTGATCATGCCAGCATCCTGGCAGGAATCAAGGCACTGAGGAGGGAGACAGCACACAGAGAAAAGCTGACATGAGCTGAATGTTTGCTGCAACAAAGTGTGACTCACACTGAGCACCAGACATGGCTTCAGTTCCCAGTTCATTAATTTTTCAGTGATAAAAAGCAGCCTGAGGCAAGTGGAGCTGTGCACTACGTAAAGGATTTATCCTTTGAGCCTTGTGCATAAATACAAATGATGAGGGCCAGTATCTGTAAGATATTTAAGACTCCTCCTGTATTTAAACTATTTTCTTGTTGGCTGTCTAGCATGCTTTTTAAAGTCAGATTTAGCTTAAAGGTAGCTCCTTAAACACCTGATGCTGCTATTCCAGCCCTGGCACATACCGCACAGGCCAGATAGCTGCCCTGGAGAGCTCCTGGCTCTTAAAAGTTAGCCAAACTTAAGAGTGCTCTCCTTAAAGACTAATTGCTCTCCTTAAAGGTTAATTGCACAGCATGAAAATGAAGAAGCAACATTTAACTGATTGCTTAAGATTAGGGTTTGAGTGTACTCTGTGACTCCTAGGGGGGACCTCTAGCATTGTCACCACTGAGCAGATCTGTCAGGACTTGTTTCATTGCCTTCTTTGGGGTGGGATGTCTCTGCTTCCCAGGTGAAAGTGATGCGCAGCTTGGTTCACCCCAATGTGCTGAAGTTCATTGGTGTACTGTACAAGGACAAGAAGCTGAATCTCCTCGCTGAGTACATCGAGGGAGGCACCCTGAAGGACTTCCTTCGCAATGCAGTGAGTATGGAAGCCTAGTAGACCTCTGCTCAATGAGGCTGACTGTGGTGTTGGTTGTACCAGCCTTATGGTACTTTTGTTAGTCTTCTCCTCTGGGGCTGTGTGGAAAAGCTTCTTCATACCTGTGGGTAGCCTGAGACAGAAATCGCTTTCTTCCTGGGGCTGTATCATTTTTCTCTGGCTGCTGCAAGAGTCCCTGTTGCAGACGAATTGCTGTCACTAATTGGCTGGTAAGACAGGCTCTGACCATTGAGGACTTGTCTTTCAGGACCCGTTTCCCTGGGAGCAGAAGGTCAGCTTTGCCAAAGGAATTGCCTCTGGAATGGTGAGTTGGACTGTTCCTTTGTCACAGAGAAAACTTCCAGGGTCAGGGTTAGCTGCTTCAGCAGGGTGGTGTATGAGGGGTTTTGGATGCTGCCTGGCTACTAGTACCTGGCTGTTGAGGTCTTTTAAATGTGAAGGGACACATTCCCCTGGGAACCCCTAACACCAAGTTTTCTTCCTCTGTTTCAGGCTTACTTGCACTCCATGTGCATCATTCACAGAGACCTGAATTCACACAATTGCCTAATCAAATTGGTGAGCTACACCTCTGTTCCCCACAGCATGCTGCTCCCCTCCTTGTCATTTTCCTCCCTCGGTTTTCTCCACGTGATCTTTCCTCTTTTGTCAGAATGGAACTGATTTCAGAGAGGCTTTTAGTGCCCTAAACAAGGGAGCTTCATCTTCACAAAGGATTTTCCAGACTGATCTAGCTTTCACTGTTTCTTCATTCTGTTCTCTCATCCCCTTTCCTGTGGTAGCATCTCCTATTAACAGCCACGTTACAAGAGCCGGTCCAGTTCTGTTTCTTATCTCAAATATGAAATGTTCTTTGCAGCTGCTTCTGTTCTTTCAACCACTTGATGACGTTTTTGTTGGCACTCAGGATTCAGACAAGTGTGCAGGTGTGTGCACATGTGTGTGCTCTTTTTGAAATGTTAGGAGGCCACAAGATTTTTGTGTAGTTTCACTCCCTCAAGCCTTACCTTTGTTTACTGGCTGAAATATGAGATTAGCATGTGGGCTTCAAATGACCCAAAAGTCTAAACTAATTCCCAGCCAGGTAGAATAGGAAGGTCTGAAAGGAAAGGTCCAGGTTTGCCCTGGCAAAAGTAGCCAAATCAATGGGATTAGTGTTAGTGACCGCACAGAAAATAAGACAATGATGAGAAGAAATGATAGGTTGGGATTGTGAATAGGGTGTCTAGGCAGATTGCTGTGCTCAGCTGGCTGCAGGAAACCTTGTTAGTTGCCCTTACAATGTAGTTGACAGAGAAGAGGAATTGCAGGCTCTTTGCTCTTGAAAGGAGCTGAGCATTGTACTAAATCCCGTGTGCAGGATAAGACAGTGGTGGTGGCTGACTTCGGTCTGTCTCGGCTGATTGTGGAGGAAAGGAAAAAGCCCACTTTGGAGAAGCCATCGGCCAAGAAACGAACCCTACGCAAGAGTGACAGGAAGAAGCGCTACACGGTGGTTGGCAACCCGTACTGGATGGCCCCAGAGATGCTCAATGGTAAGACACTGATACCAGGGTGCAGGTGAGGTGGCAGCCTGTGACAAGGGACAGGGATGATAAGATTACTGAAAGCTCCTGGGCCCTAGTAACAACCAAACGTATTACGGTCTACAGTTTTAGACCTGCTGTGATATACAAGCTTATTTATACACACAGGTACCCTAGCTGCACTGCTTTTGCAGTACTTGACCTGGTAAGCCTTTGTACCAGCTGAGGTAATGTTTCTGGCTTGACAGGACGATTCTTCAGGAGGGCAGCAGGCCTAAACTGCTCTGATCCAGATAACAGGCAAGACAAAAGAGGTCTGAAATAAGATTGAACCTGAGATTTCTGTTTCTGTTATAATTTCTGTTATAGCCTCATGCTTTGGAACTGTCCCTTGAGACAGGAAATCATTAAACTCCAGGATGAGGCTTACATGTGCTGTTGGGTAGATCCAGGGAGAAACCATCTGCTGCCAGGTTTCCTGAAGCCTCAGGATTGGAGCGGGAGTTGTCCGAGTGCAGGGCAATCTGGTTTTGGCATGCAGCCCTCCATTGCATTAAGGATGAACTATATCCCTTAGGGAAAAAAACTGCCCCTGCAAGAGTCAAGGTAAGGGTGAAACGCAGTGGAGACAATTTCCTCCTAATAAGCAGGTCTGTCTGGCCAGGTTGGGCAGTTTGTCTAGCTACAACATCAGATGTCTCCCCCAGGGAAGGGAGGACTGGGCTTCTCCCCCCAGCACAACTCTTCTCCATGTTGCTTTCTTGTGTGCTGTTCTCTTTTCCTTCTCTCAAGGCCTACAGGTCATATAGGAGTCTGAGGCTGCTCCTCAGAGCCTGTCTCAGACCTGGCATTTATCAAAGAGACCAGCAAGAGCAGAGTCTGACATCACCTCTGAAAGCAGGGTTGTTTACCAGATACTGGCTGGGGAGCGGTGTGTCTGTAAGCAGAGAATGGGCTGCTGGAGCCAGCCTGCTCTCCCAAGTTCAGAGTGCTGCCAATGGGTCATTTATTTTCTCTGCAGTCACTGCAGCAGGGACTGGGCACTTGCTGGCTGTTGGGGAAGCTGAACAATGACTTGGTGCACTGTAGACATGCACTAGAACAGTAATCAGTGGGAATGGGCAGCAGCTTTCCACAGGTAACACTAGGATTTGCTCGGACCTCTGATACACGCAGCTTCCCTGTGCTGTCCTGTAATTCCCCACTAGAAGAAAGAAGAGGGGTTAACACAAGCGGTGGCAGTGTGCAGGAAGGTGCAGTGGGTATACATATCTTGGGGCAGCTGACCCTGCTCGGATTTAAACCCTGCTTTGTCTCCTGTTTTAGGGCTTTCCAGGCAATAGGCGTAGTAGCTTTGGACTGGCAGCTCCTGAAATAGCTGGGTGGGGAACTCTCTCTCCCAGAGTTGAATGTCTTATGTTCCCTGCAGGACAGAGCTACGATGAGACAGTGGACATCTTTTCATTTGGGATTGTTCTCTGTGAGGTAAGGCCAGGACATTACATGGCATCTTTAATAGACTTCTTCCCCACTGCCATCTTCTCGCACGCTTTGTATCAGCTATTTCTCTGAGTGTGCAATCTCTGACCTAACAGCACAGGGAATTAGGCTGGGGCTACACACTCACCCTGCCTCTGTTTTCTCAAGGAAGATAACTGCCTTGTAACTTTTTGTCCCCCAAAGAGTTTCTTCCTGGACTGAGAGTAACTGTTAAAAAGTCCATCAAGTTCGGATTGAGCCCTTGTATCCATTTGAAAGTAGATATATTCCCTAAAACTGTGATACTTTTTTCCTTTCCTACTGCCTCATTAAAAGACCAGTCAGCTGTATCTCAGCAAATTCAGGGCCCTCACTGGGGACGGCACTTCACTTCAAAGAAGGGGAAACAGAAACGTCTTTGCAGGTCAATTAATGAAGCTTGCACCCTAAAGTCTGTTGGCTTAGTTTATCTCTGAGCCAGTGCACAGTCTTAACATTATATCAGGCTTTCCTGACTCCAGAGCAAAGAGCACAACTCAAAAGCTGCAAGGTATTTTCAGTTTAAAAGGTAAGACAGTGGAAATACAGATGAAAGGCAGAGTGTTACATGTGCTGATAACACAGCAGTTACAGGGACACCAGGGAAGACCAGCAGTTTCATATTCAGTGTTTGGAAGAAGAGGACAAAGAAAATATCTGTGCATAAATCTCTGTGGCCTCATCTGGAGCTCTGTTTACACTGGGCCCTCCTCTCAGACAATGTTGTGGTTGTGAGTGATAAATTTAGGAACTTGAAAAATTTGTTTGTGGAATTACAACAATTGTTTCATCTAGAAAAAAGAAATAGTAGCAAAGAAAACAGACAAATGGGGTAGTATCATAGCAACATTTTGCTTGTCACCAAGATAAAGATGCTAAAAAAAGATGTCACACACTCAAACAGATAATAACCCTGCCAAAGTACATAACGGGCGTTCCACTGTCTAGTTACAGGATGTGGTTGTCCTGCTGAGCTGCTGGCATAGGAAAGCCTGGGTGGTTATAAATAACACCCTTTTTGTGACACCCAGTGAGGCTTTAAACCCAATATTCTTCCCCATGTGAACATTTGTAGTGACACTGACCTTGGCTGCTCTCTACTATGGGTTCCTTCCCTCCTATTACACTTTTGAGTCCTCTAGTGCTGGAGGTGATGAGTGCACCTCAGCAGGGTAGATGGTGAGCACTGGGACTTCTGAGTGCTGGGGCAGGGCTTCCTTCTGTTCCACCCAGACCCTTCCTCCAGCAGCTCTGCCTGCAACCTCCTGAGCTTTGGTTCTGGTTGTTCTCTCCACCCCTCCCCTCTGGCTGTGGAGTTGAATCTGCCAGTAACACAGGAAATCAGAGTATGTGGTGCTGTTGCCTTCACAGCATCCTTTAGGCTCCATAGAAAGTAGTTTTTCTGGTGGTGTGGTAAGATTGTGTGAGGGGAGAGATGGGCTGGTGATGCAGGTTGTGTCAATTACCTCCGATCAGGAGGGGTTGCATCACCCCCAGCAGCATACAGCACTGTTGCTGACCCAGGAGGAAGACAGGGTTGAGCTCTCTGGGAGGTGCACATCATCCTGCATCTTCTAGCAGAGACTGGGGAGAAAGAGAAGGCATTTGGGCCTTCCTTCACAACAGCAGCCACATCACCAGGTCTTGACAAAGCTTCACATGAAGTTTGTATGCAGTGCAGCGTGCAACTGGCCCCACTGGAAAGCAGGAACAGTTTCTGCTCTTTCTTTTTCACCCTAGTATTTTGATGGGGCCCCTGCCTAGTGTTGATGTTCTCTGTTAACACCCTGGAACTGTTGCTGTACATAAGCTCTTCTCTCATTTTTCCCTAGATCATAGGCCAGGTTTATGCTGACCCGGACTGTCTCCCACGCACACTGGATTTTGGCCTTAACGTCAAGCTGTTCTGGGATCCTGCTGACTGTCCTCCAGCCTTCTTCCCTCTGGCTGCTATTTGCTGCAGACTGGAACCAGAGAGCAGGTAGGGTTGGGATTTGGAGGACTCCTCTTTGTAAGCTTGGAGGATGTGTCTTTATCCCCTTAGTGAAAGGACTGCTGTGCAAGAGGGTGGAAGGCGGCTGTGTTCCAGCCTTCTGTGGGAATGCTCAAAGGCTTCCATGTGAGGAGAGACTAAATTAACAGCTTGGGAGAGAGACTGCTGTATATGGGGGAGGTCTCTGAAACAATTTCTGAGACAGAGGATAGAGGAGGAGTGGTTGTTCAGGGTTTCTCATGTACTAAAAGTAGGGGCAGACCTTGGTACCAGCTCTGAAAGGTAAGTAAGTGCTTCACTTTATTTGTCGTGAAACTTGTAGCTTCACAACAGTGTTGATGCCAAGTGGGTTCCAAAAGAGCCAGACCTCCCTGGTCATCAGCTATAAAAACAGGTAGCCCAGACAGATGGGATCTTTGCAAGTCTCAGAAGCTGAATGGGGAGGGATCGTGTCCCTGTTCACACGTCTGTGCATGGGACAGTGGCCTGGATTGACAAGTGCATCGGCCTTTTCAGATGCTCTTTCCCACTCACATTTCCTCACTGCTGCTTCTAGGCCCCCTTTTTCCAAGCTGGAAGATTCATTTGAAGCTCTCTCCCTCTACCTGGGAGAATTTGCCATCCCCCTTCCATCTGAGCTGGAGGAGCTGGACCACAACGTGAGTGTGCAGTATGGACTGAACCGTGACAAGCTACCTGACAACACAACCTAGTGAGCTCATCCTGCTGCCTGCCCCACTTCATTGGAGCCGAGTGACAGGGAGGGAGATGCACTTCAGCCACTTCCAGGGCATTAATGGAGCACCACGCTGTGCGTTCGCTGCATTGCCTCTCTCCCCATCCAACACCCCTTGTCTTGGACATCTGATTCACTGTGGATTTTTGACACGTTTCAGAAGCAAAATGGGCTGTTTCCTGCCAACTGCACCTAGGAAAGCTGCTCAACACTATTTTTATGGCTTGAGAAATGTTTCTCTGACCTTTTCAGGCTTCTTTACTGTGGTGCCTTAGAACTTGGCTGCAAGCTGTGAAGCCACCCTGGTCTGTCTGCCAGGGAGGGATTTGCTATAGGAGACTCTCCTGGGTAAAGACCAGCACTTCTGGAACTGCTTCTCCCACTGACTACCCTGCACAGAAAGCAGGGGAAATTGGACATCCAGCAAAAGTCCCCACCAGGACAGTGTGTGTGTAGGTTTGTGCATATGCTTTCCAAAACAACCCACTGAGATTCTGGCCTCCAAGTGCATCACATGGGAGTAAGTAAAAGCCCCAGGAAGTGGGCAGCTCTCCTGAAATACCTTGTCTGTGAGGAAGCGTGTATGAATTCTTGTTTTAATTTGGTTTTGTGGGGGTTTTCCCCTCCTCTGTCTCTGAATACCTCCAAAAGCCTGCGTAGAAACACTAAGACTGACCTCTGCTTGGCCCTCCTAATGGTGATCAAGGCAGGCGAGCTGCTTGAGCATCTTCAGACCGTGAGCCTGCATGGTGAGTCTGCCTGCCCAAGAACCTTAGCCTAGGTGGAAGTATCTGACCATGTAGAACTGCACTAGGCACTGGCTGTGGACATCCCTGGAGTGCTGAAGCTGCTTGAGCTCTTGGCCTGTGGGCATGAGGTGACAGAAAGGGTGGCAGAAGGTGCTCTTCAGAAAGCCAAAGGTCTGAAGTCGCTCAGACTTTGTGCATGGACAGTGGCAAAGGGGGATAACCCCTAAGTTACTTAAAGGATGGACTTATCATGAACAGAAAAGTGCTGGAGAATGTCCCATCCTCCCAGGAGTGGCAGCTGGAGAACTAATAATTCAGTTGCCATTACCTCATCCTTTCCTGCAGTTGCTCCCTTTGAAGGTCCTTGCAGCTGCTGCTGCAGCACCTGAGCTGATTCTCCAAGCAGAAACTTTCCTCAGGGTCATTCCCTGCTTTGGGGGAGAAAAAAGGGCTTGGAGTCATTGGGAGCTGGGGGTGCAGGGGTATATTCTCTTCTCTTATTTCTCCCTTGGAGGGAGAAGGAAGAAAGCTACTGCTGCAGTAGTTCACATGGTTGGCAGAACAGAACAAAATCTGGCTCAAGTCCTGCTCTTAAGTTTGATAGACATCTTGTTTTAACTGGATTTTTAGTGTGCTCCTTTCTCTTCCCACTTCCTTCTGTATTGAATAGTGGGGAATGGGTGTTAGTCTTTGCTTATACTTTGATTTCCTCCCCTACCCGTGAGTTTAAAGTATTATGCAAAATAACATGGGACCAGCCATCACCTGACAAAAGGTGTGAGTGTGGGGGTGTGGTTTTAGCCTGTGTAGTGGTGTTTCAGAAACACTGGGGGACTCCCTGTGCTGTGAGTCAGTGGAGGAGCCTCTAAACTGGGTCCAGTGGATTCAGGATTGTTAACAGGATTTGCCCTTTCTTTCCCCCTTTCAGGCTGGTTTGTGAGGAGACCCCTGAAGGGGAGAGTCCTGGGTGATGTGTGGGTGGGGGTTATGAACTGTGATTTGCACAGCTCCATGTTCTAACTAAATTAAAAAGCAGTAAACATATGCTATGAAAACAAGATTTTGTTGTCTTTGTTACATCAAGCAGGAAGCTGTAACTTGCTTAGGTTTCTACTGTTGCCACAAAATGGGAACAGCAAAACTGCAGAGATCAGGTATCATCTAGATCACCCTTTCTTGAGCCCAAGGGCTCTGCCAGAGCTACAGAACTCCAGAGATACAGTGCAAGTAACTCTGTAGTACTATTTACCTGGAATGATGGAAAAGGAACAAGTTACCAAGTTTTGTTGGTTGGTGGTGGCTGGCTTTTTTCCAGGGTGGACAGGAGTCAGCAGAAGATGAAGCCTCTCTCCATTTTCCTTTTCTGATCCAGGGACAAAATACAGCCTGTTCTTGGAAACATCTTATTCTGAAATACGTAGTTCAAGGGGCATTTGTTAAGGCAACAACTGAACAAGAATGTTAGTCATGTCAGTGCCTCCCGTAACCTGCTGTGCTCTGTCTCTGTCATGCTTTCCACTGCAAGGCCCTGGGGGATGGAGCTGCTGCTGAGCAGCACCAGAGCAGAAGTGACCTGTGTCAAGGCAGGAAGGGGGTGTAACTGAGAGCATCTTCCCACGGGCCAGCCCATTCAGGCAGCACAGCTGCTTTTCAGGAACAGTGTCCCAGCCCAAGACCAGTTGCTGGCAGCAAGGACATAAGCTCCATGCCCCTTGTCAGTGCTGGGGAGTGGAGGCACTGCCTGTAGGGATTTACCTGGCGCCTGGCAAACTGACATCTTCCCTTCTCCTCAATCTGAAGTCTGCAACAAGCAAAAGGATGCTGCTTTGGCAGGAGGAATGTACAGATGAGCCACAGTCCACACAGGTCCACTGCACAGCATTTTTCTTTTAAGCTTTAATACAAGGTAGCACAATCTGCACCTTCTCATAATGAGGTATTTAAAACATTTTACAAAGAAATGGTATTCAAAGGCATTTAAAAATAAAACATTTCCCTTTTCTGGAACAAACACTAAAACCCCTGCTGACAAGTGCTGCTCCCTGTTAGGCCCACAGCTATAAAGCAGATGGCTAGAAAACTTACTTGAATGGCTTGAATCCCCTGAGGTGGGGATGGATGTTTCCCTGAACTGGGCTTGCCCTGGTGCTTTTTGGGAGACAGTGCAGCAACCATCCCTTCCAAACCCCCCGAAATGCTAATAAAAGTTGTTACAAAATGCCAGGCTCTGTAAGCAAGTGGTCTCGCTGCACAAGCTGAGCGTGTGTGAAGGAAGCTGAGCCAGGAGCCATGCTCTAACTTCAGGATCTTGCAAGAGCAGCTGCTGTATCCTGCCTTTAGAGCAAGAGCTGCTGTGTCATGGTCAGGGTGACCTCCACAGCTGCTTGGCCACTCTGTCCAGAGCTGGCTCTGTGGAAAGCCAAGGGAATTCGGAAGAGGATGTTATCTATCCACAGCGCCCCACCTGCTCTAGGTAACTGAAGGGCAGTTTGTTTTCTTCACAACTATCTACTGCTGGCCTTTGGTCTCCTGCTCTGTCTTAGTGAGCAGGAGGCACAGACCACCTGGATACCTGCAACTGTGGCTGTGCATGTAGCACCACAGGGGAATGGAGATGTGGCCTCAGTCTTGGAAGACCTGAATTTATCAATAGCTTGAGAATAGCTTTTCCAAACTGACACCAGGGCTGAACATACCGCTCCTGGCCAAAGTCAACCCTCAAATAAACTCTTTCTTGGAAAAAGAAACTGATCCAGTAGCAGGATTCTGGACAGTGTCTCCAGCTCTCAGCCACTAAAGCAAAAAGGCAGGAACTATAATCAGTGTAATTACCAAGCTAAGCCTGACGTGAAGCTCCCCTCAGTCCCTGTAGTACTGCTCCCTCCTGGGGTTCCAGGCTGAAACTTAAGTAACAGTGCACACCATTAAATAGGAAAGGAACAGAAAAAGCCACGATCACGCTCCAGGCTATGGGATCTGCCTGCGACCACATGAGAGCTTGGCCCGTCATCCCCCCCAGCTCCCTGGCACACCATGGAGATAGGTGGGAGGAAGCAGCAGGGTCCACCACACCAGTCCCCAGCTGGTCATGCACTGAATGGTGCCCCTCAAACAGATCGTGATGAATAGCCCATTGTTCTCTCCCTCTGCATCACCTTCATCTGGCTTTCATCGAAAAGAAAACAAAATAGAAATGAACACACGCACCCCCCGCACTCACAGTGGGAAGCTGGAGGCTTTGCTCAGCCTGTATCGCTCCTGCCCGAGCTGCTCAGGCACCAGGAGTCCCCGCCTGCCCCATGAGCGGGCCACCACCATCCTGTGTGTCCTCCACAGGTGTCTGGTTAGTGTGCACCACGACTGTGTTCTCATCTATGAGCTCGCAGGCAGGATTGCTGAACGCGGACAGTGGCAGTGTGATACGCTGCATTTCACGCTCATAAACTTTCTGTTCATGCTTTTCCTTCAGGTCTTTCCCCCTAGATGCAAAACAAAACAGAATAAAACAGATGTGCATGGGTGTCACTGCTTGGAGGCAGAGTCTCAGTAAACACAATACAATGGAAAAGAAGGGACTCTGCTCTTTAAGGAACATTTTCAGCTACATACAGAAGGCCAGAAACATTCCTTACTGTAAGCAGAGGACCCCATCTGACCCCATTCAACTAAGCAGCCAGGTGAAGTTTGTCCCTCCCTCAAACTGTCATATTCACTGACATTGCTACTGCTAAATGATGGTAAAGCCAGGCTTCTTCAAACCATGGAGCTGACAAGTGTTTCCTTATACCTTCCAGTCCTACCGTACTGCCCAGTGCAGGCCCAGGGGAGCAGTGAGACAGCACAGAACCCACTGCTGTGGAACAGAGCTTCCATAACCTGCCTCATCTGATAGATACCGGAGGTGGTGACAGATTATGCTTTTTGTTGCAGCAAACAAACCTGTGTAACAAAATGAAGCTATTCCTGAAAGTAGTAAAGCTAACTTCACAGCTGGCCCTGCCTTCTGCCACTGCAACTTGCACCTTAAAACCACCACCAGTTCCTCAAACCTGCCTCAGTCTTCAGCCTGTTGCTAAGGGAGGCAACACCTCTGTAATTTGTACTGAGGAAGAACTGTCTTGCTTTAAAAATGGATGGCATTAATAGCATGTTGTCTCCAGAAAAGCTATGTATACCAGAAGCTACTAAACCCATTAAAGGTTTCTCACCACACCTACCCAAACCTGCCAGCTTGCACGTCCAATTTTTAGAGCAAGGCAAGAAGAAAGACAGTAAATCTGCACTGCAGCGCTGCTGTGAGCTCTCTGGGATTGAGGAAGCAAAGCTGCATTTGGACAAAGTCCAACACTGGTCTATTGCTTCTTCTCACCAAAGATAGGAGTGAGATGGGACAGAACTGCTCACTCCTCCTGGGGCTTGTGATCCCAACCAGGCAGAGCTGCTGGGGTTTCCTGTCAGCACATGAGCAGTTTGGCTGCTTCTCAAAGCTGCCTACAAG